ATATATTATCTTAGTTTTAATATATATGTATATTAAAAGGACAGGTTTATTAGGAAAAGGAAGAAGAAAAAAGAGGGTTATCTGCATAGTCACAGGTGGGCAGGAGAGCTTCCCTTCCTGTTTTGCAAAGGGAAAAGGTTTTCAAGATCTCTGTGTGTGTGTATTATTATTAAATGTATTTATTTTCTTACATCTTTGTTAAATTTTAGACAATGTTTGGTTTCTCCACTCAGGTGTAGTCCCTGCAGATCTCTCACCACCATTGCACCCGTGATCCATTTCCAAAGTCCCATTGAGCTCTTCCCAAATCTGTTTTGACTCTGCTCTGTCTCCTCTGCTGTAGGCCTCAGTTAAGATCTGTATTTCCTACCGTTTCTTTTTCTCTGGGTGAAACTTGACTTATAGACTCAACTTTCCTGCAAATTGTCCTATCCTCAAAAAAGTGTCTCACAAATCACAAATTGGGAGGGAATGTTTTTAGACATTCAAAGGCCCTTTGCTAGACTTTACTGGAATTTGCTCAATTGTTATAGCTGTGTGACAGTCGGTAAGCACTTAAGAGTATAATGAGTCCTGTGAAGATCTAAGTTATTTTTATTTTGGAGATCTAAGTTTTTATTTATTTATTTTAAAAAAAGATTTATTTATGCATACAAGAGCTGGGGTGTAGGCCAGAGGTGCAGGGGGTGACAGGGTTCACCAGAGAGAGTGGGGAACAGAACAGGCGGATCTATTGAAATACACTGCTGAGGGGAGCAGTGGGTGAGACAGGAGAGGTCTGCGGCACCATGTGGATTGCTCCCTGGGCGGCCGGGGATTGAACTTGTGCTGCAGTGGCTGCGGACAGCTTCATAGTGCAGCGCTTAACCCCTTACACCACCAGAGAGGTCCCTGTAGATCTAAGTTTTAAATGGTTTTTTCTTTATCTTTAATTTTAACTATAAAAAATTTACAAGTTATACTTTATTTTGCAGAAGTATATAGAAGAAAAAGTGAAAGTTCCCTTTCCTCCACCTCCCTCCCATCCAGTTTTTCTCCTTGAAGATAATTACAGATAATAGTTTGGATTTTTTTTTTACCATTCCAGAAGACAAAACAACTTGGATTTTTTTTTTTAAAGATTTTATTTATTATTTATACAAGCACTGGGTACAGTCAGAAGTGCGGGAGGGCGAGAGAGTTCACCAGAGCCAGAGCGGGGAGCAGAGCAGGCAGAAGGACCGAAGTACACTGCTGAGGGGAGCAGCGGGCGGCAGGAGAGGTCTGCGCGCCATGTGGGACCCTCTTCCGGTGGCCGGGGAGCAGCCGGGGATCGAACCGGTGCCGCAGAGGCTGCGGGCAGGTTCGCAACCCAGCGCTCAACCGCTGTGCCCCCGGGGAGGCCCTGGATTATTTTTTTTTTTAAAACAATTCCACTGTAGACTGTTATTTCAGTTTTTCCCTACTAGTGTTGGAATGAATGAATCTCCTTGTCTATGTAAACTTGGATATATACATATGAGAATTTTGTGTTAAGATGAGATGGTTAGAATTGGAATGGCTGGGTTACTTTATACATATTTAAAATGTTTTTAATATTTATGGGGTTGACAAATCATCATGGTGGCATCATCAATCTCTAAAATACTTTTACCAAATTCATAAAAGTCCCTATTCAAAGGGATTTGGGGGGACATTAAGAGATTTGGGGAAACATTAATTATTTTTTTTTACATTAAGTACTCCCCATTCCCTTCTCACTATAGCCCTGGCAACCCCTAATCTCGGTCTCTATAGACTTACCTGTTCTGAACATTCATATAATGGAATCATACCATATGCAATTCTGTGTCCTACTTTTACTTAGTATGATGCTTTCAAGATTCATCTATATGTTGGCAGGTATCAGTGCTCCCTCCTTTTTATGACTTGAAAAACACCATCGTATGGATCTATCACATTTGGTTCATCCCTTCACCAAGTTGATGGACATTTGCATGTTTTTACTTTTTGGTTATTATGAGAAAATGTTGCTCAGTACATTCAGGTACAAGTTTTTGTTTGAACATATGTTTTAATTCTCTTGGATATAGACGTTGGAGTGGAGTTGCTGGTTTATACAATGATTCTGTGTTTATCTTTTTTTTTTTAAAGATTTATTTATTTATGCATACAAGAGCTGGGGTACAGGTCAGAGATGTGAGGGGGTGAGAGGATTCACCAGAGACAGAGTGGGGAACAGAACAGGCAGACTGACTGAAGTTCACTGCTGAGAGGAGCAGTGGGTGAGACAGGAGAGGTCTGCTGTGCCATGTGCATCACCTCCATGGCTTGGGATTGAACTCATGGCTGCAGAGGCTGCGAATTACTTCATAGTGTGGTGCTTAACCCCTTTCGCCACCAGGGAGGCGCCCCCTGTTTTTAACTTTTGAGGAACCACTGAACTGTCTTTCATAGTGGCTGCACAGTCTTAGATTTCCACAAGTCAATATATGAAGGTTTCGATTTTTCCACATCCTCACTAATAATGGGTATTATTGGGGTTTTGTGTATAGCCATTCTGGTGTAAGTATGAATGGTATCTCAATGTGATTTTTTTTTAAAGATTTATTTATTTATACAAGAACCGGGGTACAGGCCAGATTCACGGGAGGGTGAGAGGATTCACCTGAAATAGAGCGGGGAACAGAACAGGCATACCGACGAAATACACTGCTGAGGGGAGCAGTGGGCGCAACAGGAGAGGTCTGCCGCGCTATATGGGACCCTTGGCGGCCTGCCAGGATCGAACCAGCTATGCAGCGGCTGCAGACAGCTTCACAGTGCTGCGCTCAACCGCCTGCACTACCAGGGGAGGCCCTCAATGTGGTTTTTAATTTGCATTTCCCTAATGGCTAAGGATGTTAAGCATTTTTTCTTATGTTTACTAGATACTTGTAAATCTTTTGAAGAAATGCCTATTTTGTTAGGAGTTCTTTATATATTCTGGATACTAGATTCTTACCAGATATAATATTTGTAAATATTTTCTCTACTTTTTTGCTTTATTTGCTTGTGGTTTTGTGCTCTATTTAAGAGACTGTAGTCATATCCCAGGTCATGAAGATTGCTACTTATGCTTCCTTCTCAGAGTTGTATAGTTTTTAGTTCTTACATGGCAATGTATTACAATAAAATTTTAGTTACTTTTTATGGTTGGTATGTGGCAGAAGTTCAGATTCATTCTTTTGCATATGATTATTCAGTTGTCCCAAATTGCTGTTGCAAAGGCTATTTTTCTCCCATTGGGTGTTCTAGCAATCTTGTCATATATACATGCAGACATTGGTACATGGGCTAACTTTCACACCTTTTCCTTTTTTGAAATGACTTTTTCTTTCAGGTTGCATTGGTTTACAACACAGTAAAATGACTTAGGAGAATAGGTACAGATTTTAGAAATGTCACCATACTACATGCACTGCCAAAGCCCCCACATTTCTTTACCACAGATCATTGGCCCCCTCCCTCTGTTTTGACTTTTTATAAATCACTTTTGCAATTTATTTGGTATTTTATTTCCAAAACTTCCAAAATTATTCAATTTTTTGAAAATAAATCACAATGAAATTTGTGGGAAAAATATACTAAAAAATCAATAGAACTGTTTCAATGCAATATTACAATGTTTGATTGGTCCAATAATATACCTTTCTATTAGAATAATTTCTGAAGGTATACAATGATAAGCCATTGGAAGTCTATTTTAATATATCAGAAAAGGAAATTATGATACAAAAATATTAGATGCTATATAACAATATAAAATATGAGTACATGAAGCAAGGACTTAATATTTAACTTTTACACAGACTTATATACAATAGGGCTGAGACTATACAGTTATGCTTACAACTTTTCCTTTGAATTTACTCATATGCATTGCAAGGGCTTCTAGTTAATACATGCATAGTCATAGTTATTTTCAAAATTTTTCATGCAGTCAAAAATAGTTGTTAGAGATTAGAGAGGCATTTCTTGCCATGTCAGATCCCCACTTTTTCTGGATAAAACACTATTTCCTTGCAATATTGTGTCATCCTTCCCACCCCCGATATTATTCCCTTTTGTCACATTTTCTTACATAGTTGAACATTTCTTTCAGAGAAACATCACGTACAAAGTAGAAAACTGACTTGGCTGACACAGCTGAAGTTAAATGACCCATCAGAAAGCATAGGTATTTCTCTTGTCAATATTCAAGCAACTCCCTTCCAAGCATTCACTGATTCATGGGTTTCTTTAAAAGATTTGTGTTTCCAGATTTGTTTCTTGATGCATCAACTCACTTTTAGAGTATCTTCTTCACAGTCCTCACATTCACTCTAAGAGTCTTTACAACAATCTGAAGGTGACCATGTGTGTTGAACACTAAGAAAAACAATTCTCTTAGGACAAACAAAAAAACGCCCCCAAGTTTTTAAAAGGTGGTTATTAAAACTTGGGTATTAATGCTCTGGAGGAATGGTTTGGTGTAACTATCACCCAGATTTAGATTTGCCCATCAGGATCTATAGATCATGGCCTGATGGTAGAGTTTGATCTTTTGAAAGTGAATCCCAAAGGAAAAGAGTATAGAAATCTACCACTAACATCACTGAAAATTCAAAATGAATTTTAAAAAGTAAGGATACAAGTTATTAAGACATTTGATCCTCTCACCACGCTATTAAGGATTTACCTTGTCCTTAGTTCCTGCCTAAAAAAGTACATTGACACTTCAGGTTCACCCAGGCTCTGCAGTTCTGTGGCTTCCCAATAGGGGGCATTGTAGCATTGAGGGGAAAAAAAGGTACCAGTTGCAACCTTATCCTGGTGGGTCTGTCTGTGTTCCTTCTCTATTTTCAAGACATTTTTCAAGTCATGAATGTTTTTTTCTCAACTTTAAGAAAGCGAGAATTGAAGGAACACAGAAGGCTTGGAGGACTGCTTTACCATCTTCATAGATAATTCATAGTATGTTAAATTCTTGGAAGTTGGTTTCAAAGTCCCAAAGTACGAAATGCATCTCGTAAATCATCCACTTCATAGAGGGGCTGCAGAGAAAAAAAATAAAATGAAATGAATGGATGACTTATGTTTTGGGACAAGTGAGCGGAGAGAAGGCAGGAAGTAATTCTACCTGGAGAGAAGCACAATCAAGCACTTTCCAACAGAAAGAAAGGGGAGGAGAAAAGGTTAGGCAGACAGAGAGCTCTGAATTCTGAATTGTGCAGAAGAGCAAATTCAATTGCAGAAATAGCGACAAAAAGCTCAAAGGGAAAGTAAGATTTTCATCAGAGGAGAAATAAGGAGTGACAACTACACACATGATTTTATATGTATTTCATATTTACATTTCCATACTTATGTTATAGGACAGGGACCACCCTGTTACACTTATAGATTTTATTTATTCAAATAATATGAAAATGTAAAAAATAAGGAAAGAAAATATGATCAGCTCCAGGAAACGATGACGTTGGAGAGAGGGAGAAAAAGAAAGAAGCCCCTTACCAAAAGGATGCGCCGAAGCTGTCTGGATAGACGCACGGAATTTTCATGCAGTCCTTCCCAAGCTTTGAAGGTTTTTTCCCGGTTTTCCACAAAAGTATTCCAGCAATAAAAATAATCTTTAAAAGAAGGGAGGGCAGGGAAAAGCTGGTTCAGATCTCAAATCAAGAGGACGAATTACCTTGGCCCGTTTTTAATTTTCTCCCCTCCCTGTCCCCCAATCTTGTGCCAAAGCCATTAATTATTTTCCTCTGATTCTAATTGATGGAAAATTTGGGGCTCCAAAGGGGAACAGAACCTTTCTTCCCTCTGAATTGCCCCAATTCTCACTGTGCATTGCAATCCCATGTGGTGGCTGCTGCACCCAAGCCGGCACGGGGAGGCCCCACTCGCACCTTTGAAGGTCATGATGGCTATTTGGACCCCAGCGCTGTGCAGCCGCCGCAGCCCCTCTGGCTCGGCCTTGCGGTCCTCGCAGAAGTAGAGGCGCGCGGTGAAGATCCTAAGACTGAGGTTGGGGTACCCTCTCAGAAAGTCAGCCACGTGGCGGGCACAGTCGTAGCAGGGGCTCCAGGAGGTGAACCAGGTCACGCGGTAGCACCGGCCAGGGTCCAGGTCCCAGTCTGAGATGTAGCGGAGGAAAAGCAATTCCACGTGGCAACCCGCCTAGGGAGAGAGCAGAGCACGCAGCTGCAGTTTATCAAACCTCACTGCGGTTCTAGTGGCTTTACAGTTATTATATTCATCATCTCCCCCCCACCCAACCCCTCACCCCCGTGATCTTTTGGGTGTCTGTAGTTTTTGCCTTTACCCTTACAGGAAGGTTAAGGTCCTGCCAGGAAGAGCAGGTGGGAAGAGTGGAACAAGGCTGTGGATTTTCTGAGGAATCAAGAATGAAATGAGTTGATTTTGGACAAAGCAGCATCACACTATCTCTGATTTCATTTGTGTTTATGAAGTTAGTACTTTTTGTACCTTTAGGGGAAAAAAATGGGTTGGGCATGCTTGCTGAGATAATATGCCAGACCACTAGGTGGAGGTAGGGAGCTTGGCTAGAGCAGGGTGAGGCCACAGGTGAGGCCACAGGTGTATGTAACTTGAGAGGTCAGAGGCAATGCCAAGAGCAATGGAAGGTTGATTCCTGTGGCTAGTGGTGATAGTGAGATGTAGCAAGTCCCCTCAGTACTACAGAATACTAGTTAGTCCCACAATCTTGAAGACCTAGGCTTGATTTTCTGTCTTCACCACTCCTGAGACTTGGACCAGTTACCCAACTAGTTACCCAATAAAATGTTGTTGTGAGGAATAGGTAAGAGGGAGGTTAAGGCTTGGTAACAGCAAAGCCTTCTATAGTTAAATGTCCAGGCCAGCCGGGCAGATCAACGGGGTACCCGGGGGAGGAAGCAGGGGCTTGGTATGGGACAGGGGTACCGAGGAGTGGAGACAAAGCCAGGATCATCGCCAGTCTCATTTATTCAGGAATGTGTACAATGTTATATAGGGTTCAGAGGAGGAGGTCTCTCGTTATCTCTAGCAAGGAGAGACCACCAATGCAAACAAGCCACAGTAGCAAGCAGGGGGTAAGGTTCAGTCGTCACAATAGGAAACTTGAAACCTTCCCTGGAGCTAACATTCAATACCTGCTTCAGGCAAGAACCCGGATGTTCAGGTCTGGGCCTCAGGTCTGGGCCCCGACAGTTAAACTGTCTTGTCACCCAAGGGGAAAGAGATTGGGATGGGAAACAACTGATATGAGGTCATGTATATGATATAATGGAGGTTGAAATAAAATGAATAGTAAGGTAATCATTAGACAATGAGCCAGACAAGGTCATTCGACCTTTGCGTTCTCTGGGTTTCTACCAAGACTAGATGCTATGGGAGGAGGTATTCATAGGCAGGAACTTATGTAAGCCCATTTGGATTTTGGTGCAAAAGTCCCTTGAAAATGCACCTCTCTGCTCTTTCAGCTGCTAAGAGACTAATTGAATTAATCAGTTGAGACTTCCTGAGTTTTTGGACTAACCATGCTGACTTGAACACACTGGTCCCATCTACATGAGGGAATATAAATCATTTGGAAAACAGAATTGAGTTATTAATTTTTCCTTAATTTTTCTGGGAGGTTGGTCATATTATTCCAGATCTAGAGGATGTTTACCCTCAATTTCCCCCTAAATCACAAAGGCAATTCAGATGCTGAGGAAGAGGGAGGAAAGTTTGGGGGCAGTTATTCTTTTTTTTTTTTTTTTAAAGATTTATTTATGCATACAATAACTGGGGTACAGGCCACAGGTGCAGGAGGTGAGAAGATTCACCAGAGACAGAGTGGGGAGCAGAACAGGCAGACTGACTGAAATACACTTCTGAGGGGAGTAGCGGGCAAGACAGGAGAGGTCTGCTGTACCATGTGGGTAGCTCCCTGACCTGCTGGGGATGGAATCCAGCTGCAGGGCCTGTGGATAGCTTCATAGTGCTGTGCTTAACCTCTTGAGCCACCAGGGAGGCCCCTCGGGGCAGTTATTCTTGGCATGGAAGCAATGTGTGACACTAAGTGGAGCATAATTGGGGAGACCATTAAATGATGTTCCTTGTGACCTATGTGTTTTGCCTGTGTGGACATGTAGAATACCACCAGAAAGACTAGCAGTGTTTGTTTAGGCTTTAACTGCCTGGGAAGCCAATTTTCGTTGATACCTTGTTGCGAAGGTGACCAAAGTCCAAGGAAAATGAGGTGGCACTATCTCTCCGCTTTACCACATAGCACAAGTAGGTCTCACGCCGGCCCTTAGCCCAGCGGACATTTTTGAACTGGTAAAGAAACTTCTTATGGTTCATCAGGAGGCTGTGGATGAGAGGAGAAACACATTACCATCAAGCTTCTAAAAATGTATACTTCATTGGACCAATCAAGAGATGTTCTTACTTCCTTGACTGCATGCTCAGACCTAGTGAACTTGAGATTCATTATAAGCCCCCTTTCATCCTTACATTTAAGACCAATTTAGAGATACTCAGCAAGAACCCCACCCATGCTACCTCAGGGAACAGCCTCTTCCCACAATTGTCTTCTAGGGGATGGATACATTGGAAATACAAACTTCGTAATCAGACCCATGATTAATGTTTTCAGGTCACCCATCTAATCTCTACCTAAATGTCCAATATGTACCTCAAACTTAACATGATCACAATATTCCTGTGCTGTCCTGTGTCTCTTGGCTTTCCCATCTCAGCTGAAAACTCAGAATCACCTTTTTTTTTTTTTTTTTTTTAATAGAGGCATGTTTTATTTATTTATTTGTTTGTTTGTTTTGTTTATACATGCACTGGGTACAGTCAGAAGCACGGGAGGGTGAGAGAATTCACCAGAGCCAGAGCGGGAGCAGAGCAGGCAGAAGGACCGAAGGACACTGCTGAGGGGAGCAGCGGGAGGCAGGAGAGGTCTGCACGCCATGTGGGACCCTCCTCTGGTGGCCGGGGAGCAGCCGGGGATCGAACCGGCGCCGCAGAGGCCACGGGCAGCTTCGCAACCCAGCGCTCAACCGCTGCGCCACCGGGGAGGCCCTCAGAATCACCTTTGGTTCTTTCTTTTTCTTCATTCAAGTAGTCATCTGATTATCCTTGAAGTTTTACCTGTTCTATTCCTTTTGTTCTCTGCTCAGTCCCAGCCCTCATCTTTTAATTTTTTATGTTGTCTTAGCTTCTTAACTGGTCCTTTTGCCTCTGTCCTGCACACTGTACCAGATTTAGTTCACTGAACCCAGAGCTGACCATGTCATCTCCCCACCGAGATCCCCCAATGATTCTTTTCTGCCCGCAGAATAAACTCCACTCCCGGATGTGGTATTTAGCACCACTTTTTACATTTGGTCTTCAACCGCCATTTCTAGACATTTCTACATTTCCTAGTAATTTTTTCTTCCTTTCCCACTTTTGGAGACTCCTTTTCCTCAGCTCTTTTCCCCCAGTTACCTTGCTGGTGCCCGCCTATCTTTCCTTCTGGGTAAAACCTATAAATCCTTTAAAGCCTCACCACATTTCAATTCTTCTGGTAAGACCTTTTCACCACTCTCAGTTTCTAGACAATAATAGAACAATAACAGCAACAAAAGCATTTCAGTGGTGTCCTATCCCTCAGCTTATCCTATCCAAGTGCTCACCTTTGTCACCAATTGGTTGCTTGAATGTCTCCCCAATTACTGTTCTGACACAAAAGTATCACTTTAGAAGTAATATTTTTTGGAGGGGTCTATCTGGGTGGCCTAGGGGTTGTCTCGGTGCTAATCACCACTACCACCTAAGTTTGATCCCCCGCCAGGGAGCTAACCCACAGGGTGCAGCAGACCTCTCCTGTCTCACCCACTGCTCCCCTCAGCAGTGTATTTCAGTAGATCCATCTATTCTGCTCCTCACTCTGTCTTTGGTGAATCCTCTCACTCCCCTGAACCTCTGGCCTACACCACAGACCTATGCAGAAATAAATAAAATAAATATTGAAAAAGGTAATTTTTTAAGTATAAGAGCAATACCCAACTGTTAACTTGAATACTATAAAGTAAGATTTTAAATTTGGAACATATATATTTAATGGTACTTAACTTTTACACAGTATCTAACGACAGCTGTTAAATATTCCCTTCTGGACTTTTTATAGACATGTTTGCATGATTTTGATTAATTTTGTGTTTTGCTTCTTTAACTGGGGGTTAATCTAAACATTTTGCTATGTTCTCAGCCAGGATATTGCTCTGAATTTTGTTCCCTGGTTATGGCACAGTGTTTTGGATATCATCTGTACTAAATTGAATTGAATTTGTGGAAATACAGTGTGGTTGATTCCAAAAAAAGGAGTAGCATCTCCGATTTTGTCAGCTAGAGTTTTTCAGAAATGTCATCCAATTTGTGGAGATAATGTTGCCCCCTAATGGGGTCAGGCAGAAGTGCAGAAGATAGGAATTTGAATACGGTTTGCAGGCAAGAGAACTGAAACTTTTTTTTTCACTTGGAGGTACAATTTACATACTTCACTGATTTAAAGTGTACAGATCTATGAATATTGGTAGATGTAAACACCCAAAACTTCAGTGAGGATACAGAATATTTCCTGAATGCCTTTACCCCAGAGTTTCCTTATCCACTTTTGCAGTTAATTCTTCTCTCCTCCAGCAACCACTAAGTTGTCCTTAATATAAATTAGTCTTCATTTCCTGGACTCTTATATAAACCGTACATGGTCTCCCTGTTGGTGTCTGATTTATTCACTTAGCATGATGACTTTGAAATTATATCATGTTGCTGCCTGTGTTAGTGGTTCTTTTGCTGTTACTGGAGTGTTCCATTGTGTGGCTACAGCAGGTTTCATTATTCATTCATCTGCTCACAGGCTCGGGATGATTCCATTTCAAGGCTACTGTGAATAAAGCTTCTATGGGCATTCATGCATCAGTTTTTGGGGATATATGTTGACATCTTAACGGTGCAATATGTGAGGCAGACTCTGGCTTTAAAAGTGAAGTACCCAAATGTCAACCTTATTAAATAGATTAGCAAAGACAAGAGCTTTTTATTGCTTTTTCTCTCTCTCTCACACACACTGAGTTTAAAGGAATGCACTTTAAACCTAGAGACTAGAGCTTCCCTGGTGGTGTAGGGGTTAAGTCTAAAAGCACTATCACTGCCTCTGCCTGAGTTTTGAGTTTGATCCCTGACAGGGAACTAACCCACATGGCACAGCAGACCTCACCTATCATGCCTGAGCTCCCCTAAGTAGTGTATTTCAGTAAATCTACCTGTTTTGCTCCCCACTCTGTCTCTGGTAAATCCTCATTTCTTTTCCCCCCACACCTCTGGCCTACACCTCAGTTCTAATACACAAAAGTAAGTAAAATCTTTAAAAAGAAAAAACAACCAAAACCCCCCCTAGAAACTAGATTTACCACCAGCACACACATTATAGCAAATAATATAAAAATTGGTCAGTCATATATTAGTTTATAAATGAACAGTGCATATTTGGCAGGAATCTGAAATGATACCAACAAACAGTAATTTTTATTTTGAAAATAAAAATTGGTGATGACTGTAGTGCTACTGCCATGACAATTATTAATATTTACTTCATTAGCATATAAAAATTGCATGCATTATAAATGCGGAGGAAAAAATTTCTTTTTGGGGCCCTTTAAAACGATCAAGCATTGGGTCTTCCTGGTGGTGCAAAGGGTTAAGCACTATGTTTTTGGTTTTTTTTTTTAAGATTTATTTATTTATACAAGCATTGGGTACAGTCAGAAGCGCGGGAGGGTGAGAGAATTCACCAGAGCCAGAGCAGGGAACAGAACAGGCAGACTGATGAAATACACTGCTGAGGGGAGCAGCAGGCAGCAGGAGAGGTCTGTCGCACCATGTGTGACCTTCGCCGGTGGCCGGGGATCGAACCGGCGCTGCAGAGGCTGAGGGCAGCTTCGCAGCCCAGCGGTCAACCGCTGCGCCACCAGGGGAGACCCCGGGTTAAGCACTATGAAGCTATCGGCATCCTCCGCAGCACGAGTTTGATCCCCAGCCAACCAGAGAGCTACACACATGGCACAGCAGACCTCTCCTCTTTTGCCTGTTGCTCCCCTTAGCGCAGTGTATTTCAGTCAGTCTGCCTGTTCTCTTCCCCACTCTGTCTCTGGGGAATCTTCTCATCCCCGTACTCTGGCCTGTACCCCGGTTCTTACATTTAAATATATCTTAAAAAAAAAAAAGAATCAAGCATTATCTCTTAACCATAAATTCCTTTTACATTTTAATTTACTCTCCTTGACTGCCTGTATGAGAAAGCAGGGGAAACTGTATCATGTACTGTGTGCAGTACCAGGAGTTACCTGCTACTAGGAGCAAGAAAACACATTCTATATAGAAATTACAAGACAAAGATGAGTTCACATGGACTTTTCCCTCCTTCCCCAGATGATCATGTAATAGAATCTCAGGACTGTTAACTTGACTCAGCACTTCCCTTGCATGTAGCCGGCAGGCAGCCTGTGTCCAGCACCATTCTGGCTGTGAAGGACACTGCAGAGGCAGTTTTTTTAGGTCCAAAGATTGACAGCTGCAATGGACAGCTGTGCCCCCTGAGGCAGAACACTACCTGCATACCCAGCAATGCAAACCAGAGGCAAGCAGATTAAAAATAATCCTGTGTCTTGAGTGTGTCCTCACTAAGGCACTCTGCAGCTATTATTTATATTCCTTAAGGATAATTATAAATCTCTCTCATCTGTTGAATTTCTTTTTTCCTTTTTTGTCTTTCTCTGAATTTTAATTATCTGTTTACCATTATTTTGCATACACATGTATAAACATCTCCATTGGACACTTTACCTACAACTTATGCCTCAGGTTCATTTTCAAAATTTCATTGTAAACTGATGACTGTAACCTTTGCCCTCCGGAAAATATTCTGCCCCCACTCTGAGCAGATACAAAGATGTAAACCTACTTTACCTCAAACATAATTTGTGAGGGAAATATTTCCTGATGAATGCAACCATTACATATTTAACTCTGTAGTAAATTTTGTGTGAAAGAGTTAAATGGAGATGTGGATTAGGTATGATTCACATACATTTGTAATAATGAGAAACTGGTAATTAAATTGTCATAAATTGCATGTAAACACTTAACAGATTATACATTTAAGAAATGAGCCAAGCCATGTCTGAAGAAATTGAAAACTAAGTATATGATAGTAACAATGCTATTAACAGCTTAACAATTGGGCCTATATTATTAAGTAATTTTACTTGGTGGAGTTTTTTCTCCCTTATAATAAACACAATCATAGAGACTTGCAAGCAATTACTGTTGACTCCAAGCACTAAAAAATAACTTCCTTCTTACATAATTAAATGATTCAGTAGTCTCCCTAAGAAAGTTAAACTCCAAGGGGTTTTATAGTTGAATGTTTACAAAATTATTACAGTTAATATTTTCAGTAAAAGTGTTATTTTTCATGATTTGACTCTCTGAACATTTGGTGTGTTAATATTGCTAACATAAACTATTTCTAACTGCAAAACAAATCTTAGGACAAACTAATGTAAGGTGTATAATACAGGTTCTTTCAAATATGGAAAAGACAGAGATGAAGAAATTAGGTGGAGACCTAATTTCATCAGAAATGTGACAGATCCAGAAAAAAGTGCACATTGACCAAGCAGATCTTGAGTCAGTGATGAGAGAGGGCTAGCTCCCAAACTCAATACTTAGCTTAGCCCTGAGAAGGAAGCCAGTCCCACCGCCCCTGAGGAGAACTGCCCCTTTACCTGTCCATAGTGGAATCCAGGGTGTCTGTTGTGGTTCTCAGGCTAAGGAAAGCTTGTCTCCAGCACTGCTGCCTCCCTGACAATGACCCACACATTCAAATTTGAGCTGATTCTTTTGGGCTCCTCCCCCCACCACATCACCACCACCAGGTACCCCAAAGGCCTTCCTCCTGTTTGGGTCCAGTGAAGATGGGGGCGGGGTTGTCATAAGCAAAGTCACATGGGTTTCATGATTGAGCCTCCCTGTGCTTCTTGGGGTAGGTTCATTCAGGGTTGCTTCTCTTTAAAAAACATCCATGCTCCACAGGTAAAACCAGAAAGTAGTAGTAGAGACTTCTTAAATTGCTTCCAATAATATCTTTAATTTTAAAAGCATCATAGCAATGTTCATTTAAATCACACCATATGAAAAAAAAAATCACACCATATGTTCCATGAGCTGAAAGTATCTATTCCCTGTTTAATCACACGTCTCTGAATCTCATATAAGCGCTCACAGAGCCTGCGTTGTGACTGACAGAAAATTAGAACATGGGACATAAGAAATTTTGCATCCCAAGGCACTGACTTTTGTTCTTTCTGATTGCATTACAAGAATTGCTAGAAGACTAGGTGGTTGCACTAGAGCAATTTTTTTCTTTTTTGCATAAGCCATCTTTTCCACAGAACACGGTATTTAATCAAAGTCAGAAGCAACCGGGCCTCCCTGGTGGTGCAAGGAGTTAAGCACAGCACTGTGAAGATATCCGCAGTCTCTGCGGCACAAGTTTGATTCCCCGCTGGCCAGGGAGCTATCCACATGGTGCAGCAAACCTCTCCTGTCTCACCCACTGCACCTCTCAGCAATGTATTTCATTCAGTCTGCCTGTTTTGCTCCCCACACTGTCTCTGGTGAATCCTCTCACGTCCGGCACCTCTGGCCTGTACCCCAGTTTTTGTATGCATAAATAAATAAATCTTTAAAAAAATAAAAAAGAGTCAGAAGCAATCATACCCCAATTAAAAATGCCTATTTAAAAATTTAAATGCCTGGGCCTCCCCGGTGGCTCAACGGGTTGAGTGCAGCGCTATGAAACTGTCTGCAGACTCTGCAGCGTGGGTTCGATTCGCAGCGGGCCAGAGAGACGCCAACATGGCGCAGCAGTCCTCTCCTGTCTCACCCGCTGATCCCTTCGGCAGTGCTTTTGGTCAGTCTTCCTGTTCTGCTCCCTGCTCTGTCTCTGGTGAATCCTCTCACCCTCCCACGACTTTGGCCTGTACCCCAGCTCTTGTATAAATAAATAAATCTTTAAAAAATTTTTTAAATGCCCAATTAAAAAATGACTATTTCATCAGGAAGAAGCAGCATCTGATGACTTCATTGAACTTGGAATTTTCAAATAAGAGGCTTTTAATTTCTGTTCTCATTATTTAATCTACTGAAGGTTTTGCCTTTTCCCTTTTACCTCAGCGCATACACATTCTATTTATTCATTTCATACAACATCATGCCTATGTGTGATAGAAAGTTCCAGGTACTAGGGATACAGTGATGAGCAAAGGTTACATTTTCTGCTCTCTACTCCTGCCTCAAGGCTCTAAGTATTATCTGTACAATGATGGCTTCCAAGTTAATAGATCTAGCTTGGAACTTCCCCTTGAAATCTGGGCACGTGTGTCCAGCATCTGCTCTGTTCAGGATCACTAGTTGGCTGTGAATGTGCTAAAACTGATTACCTGTTTTCTTTTTTTTTTTTTTTATTTTTTATTTTTTTTTTATAGAGGCATGTTTTATTTATTTATTTTATTTGTTTGTTTGTTTTGTTTATACATGCACTGGGTACAGTCAGAAGCGCGGGAGGGTGAGAGAATTCACCAGAGCTAGAGTGGGGAGCAGAGCAGGCAGAAGGACCAAAGTACACTGCTGAGGGGAGCAGCGGGCGGCAGGAGAGGTCTGCGCACCATGTGGGATCCTCCTCCGGTGGCCGGGGAGCAGCCGGGGATCGAACCGGCGCCACAGAGGCTGCGGGCAGCTTCGCAACCCAGCGCTCAACCGCTGCGCCACCGGGGAGGCCCTGATTACCTGTTTTCTCCCTCACACAAACTGCTTGTCTCACCATCTTCCAGATCCCAATGACAGTGTCCTGCTTTCCAGGTCTCAGGCCAACCTGGCAACATTGCTTGACCCCTGGTGCTTCTGAATCCCATACCCAATCCCTTAGCAGATTCTGAAAGTAGTTTCGGAACAAATCCAGGAACTGACTTTCATCATCTCCAGGTCTGAACAACGTGCATGATTGCATTTAGCCCCCCAGCTTCTGGTTTCCAGAGTCATCCTTTTACAAGCATTTTAGATCCTGTCACTTCTGTCAGCTCCCCATGGCTCATTTTCTCGGGAATAACCAACTTCCTTACTAGGATCCTCACAACACCTACTACCTGCTCCTACCTATCCCATCTGACTCTCTCTTTCTCTCTCCTGTTCCTGCTTATGCAAAGGACACTCAATCTCACCTTGTATATTGTCACGATTTGATCCCTTGTTTATGTCTTTACTCAAATATTCCCTTGTAGTTCAAGGTTTTCTTAGTCACTGTATCTGACCTTTTAACTATATCCCACCACTGCTGATGTGACTTTTTCTTTGTTCTAACTTTGTTACAACACTGGGCTTTTGGGGAGTTGAGTGGGTAGAACAGGTTTGATTGAAGTAACTTTGCATTAAAACACGTTCCAGGCCTTAGGCTGAGCTTAAGGGGAACAATGACACACATAGTTCATTGGGAAATGTTTTGCTTAAGCCTTAAAAAAAAATAGATTCACAGTATCTCAATGTTGAAGGAACCTTAATGATCCTCTAGCCTTCTGCTTCTCAAAATGGATTGTGTCTGTCTGGAATTAACCCTAAATGTAAGGTGGACAATGCATCAGGCAGTAAGTAAAAACCACAGGATAAACACGTCTTGGTGTCTTAGGACATTAATTTTTTCCAAAGACTAGAGGAAAACAGCATTTCTATCTAAATTAGAGTAGACTATAATGTGCAAATTAATTTTCCTTAGCACTTTTCCCCATAAACTTATCCTTCCATCATTTAAAAAAGTCTTCACGGAACAGAAGATTGTAATGCCTTTAATTTCCCTTGGTACATGAATAAGTGCAGAGAAGGCGCCATCAGCATGGCTGCTAACATAGCATCATGTACTGTTAAAGACAAAACACATTCCAGGGAAGTTTCAGACTAACACAAGTTATTTTGGATAATATCCTCAGATGACCCATATTTCTTATTTTACTCCTTTTTATTTTTTATTTTTCTTAGATTTATTTGTTTATGCATACAAGAACTGGGGTACAGGCTAGAGGTGTGGAGGTGCGAGGATTCACCCAAGACAGAATGGGGAGCAGAACAGGCAGATTGACTGAAGGGAGCAGTGGGCGAGTCAGGAGAGGTCTGCTGCACCATGTGGGTAACTCTCTGGCTGGGGATCGAACTTGTGCTGTGGTGGCTGAGTATAGCTTCATAGGTTGTGTCTTGCCCTCTTACGCCACCAGGGAGGCCCTATTTTACTCTTTCTTTTTTTTTTTTAGAGATTATCTGTTTTTTTCTATATATTTTTAAGATTTATTTATAAAAGAACTGGGGTACAGGTCAGAGGCATGGAAGGGTGAGAGAATTTGCTAGAGTGGGGAGCAGAACAGGCAGACAGACCGAAGACACTGCTGAGGGGAGCAGTGGGTGAGGCAGGAGAGGTCTGCCATGCCTAGTGGGTTTCTCCCTGGCCAGCCGGGAATTGAACCCACGCTGTAGAGGCTGCAGACAGCTTCACAGTGCAGAGTTCAATCCGCTGAGCCAGAAGGGAGGCCCTTTACTCCTTTTTTTTTTTTTTATAGGACAGTTTAATTGGGGGGGGGGAATGAGAAGCAAAGATTCTGTAATTCTTTTTTTTTTTTTTTTAAGATTTATTTATACAAGAACCAGGGTATAGGTTAGATGCGTGGGAGGGTGAAAGGATTCATCATAGACAGAGTGGGGAACAGAACAGGCAGACTGACGAAATACACTGCGGAGGGGAGTAGTGGGCGAGACAGGAGAGTTCTGCCGCACCATGTGGGACCCTCGCCGGCCAGCCAGGATCGAACCGGCGGTGCAGAGGCCAGGGACAGCTTCACGGCGCTGTGCTCAACCACCTGAGCCACCAGGGGAGGCCCAGATTCTGTAATTTTTTATGGATCCCTGCTCATGGACCCAAAACAGTGGTCTGCCCTTTCATACAACCCCAGAAACATCATTCCCAGTATTATTGTCCTGTTCACTGATGGTAGTTCAAAGGAAGAAGAGAAGCAGCAGAACCGAAACTTCATGATACACATGGTACTTGAGTGAGATCTTGATGAATTACTTTTATTTATTTATGCATGTAAGAGCAGGGGTGTAAGCCAGAGGTGAGGGGTGAGAGGATTCACCAGAGACAGAGTGGGGAGCAGAACAGGCAGATCTACTGAAACATTGCTGAGGGGAGCAGCAGGTGATACAGGAGAGGTCTGCTGCACCATGTGGGTTAGCTTCCTTGGCTGGGGATCGAACTCATGCTGCAATGGCTGGCAATAGCTTGATAGTGCTGAGACTTTAATCGCTGTGCCACCAGGAAGGCCCCAAGAATGGGAAAAATTTTAATAAACAAATCCTGGAGAAGACAGTGATATGAGATCTTAGATCTGGCCCTTTCAGCAACAATTTGCATGACTGTGAGGAAGACTTCATTCTTTAGTCATTCCTGAGAATCTGCTTAGCCTCTGGCAATAGTGGAATATGCTAGACATAGTCCACTCTCTAGGTGGCACGAACCACATAGCAAAGGCAGGGCACTGGGTCTGTCCTGCAGGCTTTAGCAAAAACCAGCTGCATTGTCTGGCTGAATGATGGCTCATAACAGAACAACAGTGGGAGACGAAATTGAGATACTATTCATGTTTCACATAAGCTTCTTTAGAAAAGCTTTCTAACAAAATTGACAGTTAAATACCTTGCACAATGACTGTTTAGAAAATAAGGAATTCAAGTGACACGGGTTGTCCAGCATAAGAAAATCTTTATTTCTCAGAAAGCTAGATTCCTTTTTCAGCCTCCTTCTTTTGAAGGAAGGAAATTACCTCTCTTATCATTACCACAGCATTTTTCATTCCTAGTGACTTGGAGTTAGTTCATGAGATTAGAAAAAGACAATTTTGTGGAGTTTCATTCAGTTATTTTTAAAGGCCATTTTCCTTACTAACAACCTTCTCCCCTTACCAAACTTCTCTTGAAAAACCACAGCCCAAACTGGTTAATTTATTTTTAACGAAAACAGCGCAACTGGGAAAGTGACTCTGGTGACTGAGGTGAGCCTCAGACACCTGGACTTCACCTCTGTGGCTCCTCATCATGAGACCCACAAGGTGAGGTTTCATTCTGGCCAGTGTGTGAGCCCTGGGGCACCCCCCTGGGGCTTCTCCAGGGTCTCCATTCCTGTGTCTAGCACCAAGAAGCTCCCAGAGGGACTCCCCTGACTGCTATTTTTGGACACCAGGTAGATTGTTCAACCTGATACCTTGTTGTTTTTGAAAGAGTCCAAAAAGGGGTCTGTGTGGGTAAAAGTGGTTTTTGGAGTGCTTCCACTTCTGCATTTCCCGATTTTTGTTTTTCTCAGCTTACGGCCAGCCATATTATTGAATTATCGCTGGGGTGTGAAGAAGTTGAGGGACAACTTCTGAACATACAGGAATTACTCATTCACCTTCTGCTGAGCAGCTGCCTAGGAGTCACTGAGGTTGAAAGAACATTAAACAAGTATTCATCAAAAGTCATGGGCTTAGCAAAAGGCTAAAGAAAATTCTTTGAGGGGGAAAAGGAACTAAAGAAGCTTTATCAATCTTACAACTATGAAATATAGTATATAGAGTAATCAGAAAAGTTGGGTTTTATAATCCAGCACCCAAACACTTAAAATCTATCACCACTATTTCCTAGCAAAGTGCCTTTTGAGTGTATTTCCCCATGTGTAAAATACAGATAAACAATAGTAGTAATAGCTAACATTCACTGGGCACTTACTTTATACCCAGTTCTGTGCTAAGCATGTTGCCTACATCATCTCAAGTTCAAGCACTGGGGACCATTATGATTTTCAGACATAGCTATTGAGGCCTAGGGCTAAAGCAAATTCCTGCAAGATTGTTAGAGAGAATGAGATCAAGTAAATATGAAGGCCATTCTATATTCATTCTTATGAATGAACGAACAAATGAATGAATAAATGAATGAATGAATGAAGGTATTCATTTTTTTTATGAAGCATTATCTTGCAATCGCTGATATTTAGATAACATTATAAAAAATACAAATTGTGGTCACCAACAGGTTTTCTGCTTCTGTGGCTGCAAGATTCTGACGAGAGATCTAATGGGAGTGAGTAGCTATGTGTAGGTGTCTCACTTTGTGAATTAGTGTATAAAGTGCAGATTCCAGTGTTTAGTCCCTACTGATTTTCATTCAGTAAGTTTAGAGAGCAACCCAAGACTCCACCTTTTTAACAAGTGCATATTAATTCCAAAGCAAGTGGTTTTCAGTTTGGAACCTAACTTTGATATACTGGTCTAGAGGACCTCGTTTCCTGAAAAGAAAATGTATGTCAATGTAAATGGCAAAAGGTGTTATTCCAAGCAGAAATTAAAAAGCAGCTCTAATCTCTTGGAGGGAAGAGAACATGCTTTGCTCAATTTTGTTTCCCTAGCACTGTGTGGACACAGATATTCAAAAGCTGTTCAAGGTTAATCACCCACACTTCCCCAAGGCCTGGGAACTAGGTCTATCCTGACCATGTCATTCTTTTACTCTTACAATAGTCCTGAGGCTTTGGTAACAATGGGTTCTACTTTGACAGGGAGGAAAACTGAGGCACAGAAATGTTGATCACAGTGGTGGAGGGAGGAAGTTAGGATTGACACCTAGCTACAGAGTCGGTGCTCTGAAACACAAAAATCTGTACTTACCGAGAGAATTACTTCCCAAGAAGTGACTGTCATCCCCTACTCCTAGTATAGGAACCTGAAGGCCTGGAGGAGTCTCCCATTGAGGAAAGCATGTTGATTGAATGACACACACATTTTGGATTTTTGTTAGAATCCTCTGATTCCTTTATCTTCCTTGAAAATCTATTTGCTGGATACCTTGATTTCTTTCTTTGCAGGATGGAAAGATTCCGACACCAAACCTGCACTCTTTGCAACAAAGTGCAGTAAATTTTGGTAAATTATGGGAGAAACTTGAAAAAGCCATCAAAGCTATTCTTAGATTGGGATATGTCGAAAAGACAACGTGGAACAATCACTTCACAGATATGTATGTCTTACGTGTGGCTTATCCGCTACAGTCTGGGGGAATGCTTTATAAAGAAACGAAGACATTTTTGGAAAATCACGTTCGAGATTTGTGCGAGAGAGTTCTGGAGTCCAGAGAACAAGTACTTGTCACATATGCTAGGTGTTGGGAAGAGTATAGCAGGGGCACAAATTCTCTGAACTACTTGTATAGGCATCTCAACACCCAGTTTATTGAAAAGAATAAATTTACAGTTGATTTTCACTATGACTGACATAAAAATAAAAGAACCATTAATGGAAATAGGAAAGTTGCCCTTGTATATCTGGAAGAGATTCATGGTTAAGCCACTTCAGGACATTCTTTTCGGCATGCCGCTTCAAGAAATCAAAAATTATCATGATGGAGAGGACCCAAATCAGCAAATATTCCATGCAGTTATTAACTCCTTTGTTCATGTGGAACAGTATGAGGAGGTATTGCCCTTAAAGTTTTATCAAGAAATCTTTGAGTCCCCTTTTCTGGCTTGCATAAGAGAGTATTATAAACAAGAAGTATCCAATTTGTTACAAGAATTGAACTGCTCACAGTATATGGAAATGGTTATAAGTAGATTAAAAGATGAAGAAATTCTATGTCAAAAATATCTACCACCCAGTTTACATAGAAAAGTGATGTGTGAGTTTCAGCAACGAATGATAATAGACCACTTGCAGTTCTTACAAGCAGAATGTCAGAATATTATCTGACAAGAGAAAAAAAATGACATAGCCAATTTGTACATCTTACTCTGTACTGTGTCCACTGGCTTGCCTCATGTGGCTCAGGAGCTGCAAAATTACATCCATGATGAGGTCCTTAGGGTCACCAGTAATCTGAGTCAGGAAAATACACCAGCAGAATTTGTGGAGTCAGTACTGAAAGTGCCTGGTAAGTTTGTCCAATTTAACAGCACCACTTTGAATGGTGATCCGCTCTTTATGGCTGCATTAGATAAGGCCTTTACAATGGCTGTAAATTACAGAGAGCCTAAATCTGTTTGTAAAGCACCTGAATTGCTTGCTAAGTACTGTGACAACTTACTTAAGAAATCAGCAAAAGGGATGACTGAGGATGAAGTGGAAGACAAACTGGTGAGATGCTATGATTTTTTCAAATACATCAACGATAAGGATCTTTTCCAAAAATTCTACACAAGAATGCTTGCAGATCGTTTAATTCATGGATTATCTAGGTCTATGGATGCTGAAGGAAGTATGATCAATAAATTAAAGCGAGCCTGTGGCTATGAGTTTGCCAGGTTGCTTCATCACATGTACACAGATATGAGTATCAGTGCAGATCTCAACAGAAAGTTCAATGATTTTATCAAGAACCAAGACACAGTAATAAACCTGGGAATTAGTTTCCAGATAAATATTCTCCGAACTGGCTCCTGGCCTTTTACTCAGGTTCCTTCGGTTATATTGGCAATTCCCCAGGGGTTGGAAAAAAGTGTACAGATATTCACATTATTTTACAATCAGCATTTCAATGGAAGGAAGCTAACATGGTTACACTCTTTCTGTACAGGTGAAGTTAAAATGAACTATTTGAACAAACCATCTGTAGCCATAGTTACAACATACCAAATGGCCGTTCTTCTTGCCTTTTAACAACAGTGAAACCCTCACCTATAAAGAGCTTCAAGACAGCAGTCAGATGAATGAAAAGGAATTGACCAGAGCAATCAAATCATTGCTTGATGTGAAAATGATGGACCATAACTCAGAAAAGGAAGGCATACTCACAGAATCTTCATTTTCATTAAATATGAACTTCAGCATTAAGAGAACAAGATTTAAGGTTGCCACACCAATGCAGAAAGAGACACCCCAAGAAATGGAGCAGACTAGAAGTGCTGTAAATGAAGACAGGAAAATGTATCTCCAAGAGACTATAGTTTGAATTATGAAAACGCGCAAAGTACTTCGGCATAATCACCTTATTCAAGAGGTGATTAGCCAGTCCAGAGCTCGGTTTAACCCCAGTATCAGCATAATTAAAAAGTGTATTGAAGTTCTGATAGACAAAGAGTACATGGAACGCAGTCCAAGGGTGGCAGATGAATACAATTACATTGTGTGATGTCACCCTTTTCCCGCATGGGTATGAGGTCACTGCTTCACTTTCAGTTCCAGTGGAAGAAAGCCAACCTAGGTCACCATGATTTGGTCATTTAGCAGCCCTTGTTTTTTGTATGTTTTCAGCATCACCAGTACCGCATCCTGAGCTTCCTGCTTAGACACATGGGCACATTTCATCTTGACATTTATTTATTTATGCACTCAAAAGCTGAGGTGTAGGCCAGAGGTGCAAGGCTGGTAGTAGAGGTGAGAGGATTGACCGGAGACAGAGTGGGGAGCAAAACAGGCTGGATGACTGGAATACATTGCTGAGGGGAACAGTTGGTGAGACAGGAGAGGTCTGCTGCCCCATGTGGATCAGCTCCCTGGCTAGGGATTGAACTTGTGTTGCAGTGGCTGCTGATAGCGTCATAGTGCTGAGACTTAACCCCTTGCACCACCAGGGAGGTCTTTGACATTTCTTAAAATCTTATTAAAAGAATGCTGAAATGTTGACATTTGGTTGACTGGCATGCTTTTTCTCCCCTCCTGTTTTCAATTGATGTTTTGCTGTTTTGTGTATCTTAAAGGGCACAGACTTCAGTATTGAGCAGATCACTTAATTGTATCTCATTAATATGCAAACATGATATTGCTGCTTGTCAAAAAAAAAAATTAAATTAAACTGGTAAATTATTTTCCCCAGTAGGAAGCGCCATCCTGGAACCCAACATCTGCGTCAACTAGGACATTTAAGGGTTCACTGCAGCCTCTACTTGGAAGATTTGGGATGTGAGAAAAAATAAATCAGGACTCTCTTAAACTGTAAATTAGAATTTGCAGTTTTCCACATTTTCTCTACTCAATGCCTAATCAGCAAGGGTCATATCTCTATTATAAGGGACAGAATAGAAGCTTCTACCTACTCTGCAACAGTGAGAGAAACCAATCAGCTTAAGCTGTAGGAAAATCCTATAGTCTTGTTAAATATGTAATAGTCTTACTGGGCTAAATCCTTTGCAAACACGAACCACTTGTAAGGCACATGTCTTCCCACCAGTTGAGATTATCCCCCCAGGATTATACAACTGGTGAGTGTCACCTAAGGATTGGCCCTAAAGCAAATGCTATTTTTTATATTAAATGCACTTCTGGGGCCTTCCCTGGTGGCACAAGGGGTTAAACATAGCACTATGAAGTCATCTGCAGCCTCTGCAGCATGAGTTCGATCCCTGGCTGTGCAGAGAGCTACCCACATGGTGCAGCAGACCTCTCCTGTCTCATCCACTGCTCCCCTCAGCAGTGTATTTCAGTCAGTCTGCCTGTTCTGTTCCCCACTCTGTCTCTGGTGAATCCTCTCACCACCTCCCTCCCCCACCCCACACCTCTGGCCTGTGCCCCAGTTCTTGTATGCATAAATAAATCTTTAAAATAAATGAATGCACTTCTATGTTGATTTGTGATCTAGATACCCTGCATATAGACAATATACTATAGTCAATAATACATTGCAGGAGAGGAATTATTCCTTCCCTATATGAGAACATATCACAATTCTTATGAAGTGTACCTCTGAATTCATGGATTTTTGTACTTTAATTACTATACTGCCTCATGTTTTTATCTGTTTCTGAGATAATGGCAACACGAAATAGTTAAGTTACCTTCAAATAAATTAGTTTCAGCTCCAGTAAAACTGTCATTCTTGGTTATAAAGAACATTATTGAAGTCATTCTTGTTTTTTGATAATATTACACAGTTCCAGAAGCTTACTTGTATTATATAATTTTATTTCCCTCCCCCAAGCTCACCCCTTTTCAAAAATGACTATGGATGTAATTTTATGCAAACAAAACACTTTTTGTGTGTGTGCAATTGTCATTTTCTTTCATGTAACGCCTTGTGTTGGACCATTTGGAACAGAACGACATATTAAGAAACAGTATATAATTGATACCTCAATGGCCATCAGTCTCTAAGTGAGTAATGTGAATTTATTTCCTTATGCTCACTCACTGCTCATCTATTACTTTTTGTGTAGGGTTTAGAGGAGGTGAATTCCAAACAAACTGATCACCTTGAACTCAGTTCTTATGGACTGTTAGATAAATTTAATTATATACTCCATAAAGCTATACATCACAGATGCATGGCTTGGTAAAAACAGAAGAAAGGAAGACAAGAGGAAAGAAAAATGCCAGAGACAGAGAAAAGGACTGCAGGACCCCTAGGTCTCTGTCTTACTGACAGTGATTGAACAAATCGAAAAAAAAAAAAACACTATCAGCTATTTAAAAAATTGAGGGTTTGAGGTGAAGTGAGTTTGATTTGTCAACAGGAAGCTATGGGTTCTGTGCATCTATTTATATAAACAACATTTGCTTTTTCCATCTTGGGTTCTGCCCAGAAGTTGTCGTCTGACTACTACTTGTGACTCTGGTTGACTGGTTTTTAAAAAAAAAAAAAAGAGAAAAAAAAAAACCCAACTGTGGCCACCTGTTTCTCTACCACAGAGAGACTCAACAAGTCACTTTCCCTTAACGTTTGGTCGAAAATGATAAAATATAACAAGGATTTCATTTTCATTGACATGCAATTTAAACCAAATCTTTGCCTCCCTGAGTTGACAAAACTGTAAGGACAATCCTGCCTCACCTTCCTTGTGTCTATCTTGTAAGTTTCCAGATGTCTCATGACTTCTTTACCACGAACCCCAAGCACCCTCCTTCCCGACACCGCTACCCTCTGCCCCCTGCCCTGATTTCAAATGCCATCACCACCCCCACACCCCAATTTTCTATCCCTCTTGTCTGGTGCTCTTCTACCTTTTCTTCTGTTTTTTCCTCATATTTCTTTCATCGCGGGTATGAATGCTCAGGACAGACGAAGAGGGGGAACTTGGGCTGCATGTTACTTGCACCTTCTAACCAGGTGTAAAGTATTTGGTTAAACCCCCAGCTTTTGCCACAAGCACCCTGAAGCAGAGAAGGGAGGAGCTTGTGGCTAGCAACATATACGGTTAACATATATGGTTTGATGTCATCAAAAGCAAGCCCAGAAGCGGTGAGACCAGCTGGGTTTTGCACCATCGCCTATGAGTCAAAAGAATACTTTGAGAAAGTGTGCATGGATTGCTGCTTAGAGAGTATAGTATACACTTGATTTTCCAGAAGTTTCATTCGAGAGAAGAGAATTTTAAGTTGTCAGCATGAAATATGAAAAAAAGGTTTTGCCCAGAGCACTACCAGCTTATTTTGTCAAGAGAAAGTAAAGGGGAATCCTATGGATCAGCAGATAAGGCTGTTATCTCCTGAAGGCAACAGGAAGGAATCCAAACTCAAAAATTGCATAAAGATACTTTTACCAAATCCTTGATCTCCAACATCCTAAGTTGCATTATTGTGGCTCAGATAAATGTTTTCATAAATTTCCTAACAAAGTAGATTGTCATTTGTGTTCACCAGGAAATGGATAATATTAATATCATAATGAGTAAAAAAGGAAAAGAAAACTAGAACCACTGAGACCTGAAATAAGACAAGGGTCAAAAAACACCAGTAAAGAGGCAGTGAATGGAAGAGTGTTTCTGGGAAAAAAAGCAACAGATCAAAATAATCCCCTGAAACTTTTTTTTTTTTAAGATTTATTTGTGCAATCAAGAACTCTGGGGTATAGGCCAGAGGTGCGGGGGCTGAGAAGATTCACCAGAGATAGAGTGTGGAACAGAACAGGTGGATTGACTGAAAACACTGCTGAGGGGAGCAGCGGGCGAGGCAGGAGAGTTCTGCTGCACCATGTGGGTAGCTCCCTGGCTGGGGATCGAACTGCAGTGGCTGCGGAGAGCTACATAGTGCTGTGATTCAACCCCTTGTGCCACCAGGGAGGTCCTCCTACCCCCTGAAAATCTGACCTGGAATTAAGGGAAAGTTATGGGGGTATTAAGACTTTTCTGTGAGAAAAGGACTGAATGCATGTTAGAAATGTGGCTTTTTTTTTTTTTTTTTAAAGGAGAGAATGGAAGTATGAAAGATGGGCACAATACAGGAATTTCCTTGTGCAAAAGAGAAATGAGAGTAAAGCATGAAACTAACTGGTATTGGGGCCTGAAGGGGACAGAAAAATTTCTGGCAATATCCCAAACCGGGATCTAATAGTGAAAATCCTTACATATTTTGCTAAGTGGCTAGAATGAAACAGCACCAACTCAAGGAAACTCAGGCCAATGATTTGGTTTCACAATTATCTTGTGGAGGTGGTATAACTCCAATACTACCATAGGTGAGAAAGTAATTGAAACTTATTTCCAGTCCTTCCTGAAAAATCAAATTGGGAAGTATGAGTCCCAAATTCATTCTTTTTGTTTATCCTCAGAAAACACTTTGGGTCTTAATGTATTATTAGAAGAATTGGCTGTGCAGAATTTTTCTAGGACTAAAAAATTGCATGATCCATAAGGAATATTTGCCAGATAATTATTAGCTCAATCCGGCCAAATAATTGTATGTAGATGAAGGGTGAGTTAAATCTAGGAAACTCTTGCAAGGAAAATAAATGAAATCCTATGGCTAGTCAAAACACAATCACAGCTTCTACCTGAAGTTGAAATTATATGTAGAATGTTTGCATATAAGCCACACGGTTGTCAATTATCTACTATATTTATGATATTGGGAAGAGGGTAAATAATGCAATAATAGACTTTGTATTTGAAGTACTAAAAAGTGAAATTTTATCAGTCTAGTGAAAAATCAGGGAGTAGGGGCAAAAGCTAGGCACCGCAAAGGGACTGGTTTAAGAAATCCTAATGTCTATGGGTTAGCTGGCAATGGTTGGATAAAGCACTCCCCAGTCTCCGGCATTCTCTCCTCCCATTCATGTGTTTCCTTTACTCCTGCTGGGTAATCACAGACCACCTGGTCTCTGCAAATCCACATTTTCACAGGGAGGAAGCCGGAAATAGTTGGAGCGCCGAAGTCGCCTTGGGGGCAGACCAGCCATCTGACGACAAATTTCATCTAGAAGGGAAGCAGAGCGTGATAGGAAGAAGGAAATAAGGGCTCTTGTTTTATGGGAAAGAGAAGGCTGTGGTGGGTTGCAATGCAAAGAGATAGATCTGGTATAGAATCCCAGCCCTTTATTGTTAACCCTTAATTAGAAAGTTTAATTCTTTTGAACCTCACTGTAAAGCATTAAAATAGCGGCATCAGCAATGTAGTTATAATAAAATGGAATATGTGTACAAAAGTACCTAGTACAGGTGGTCAATATATATGATTGCTTTATATACCTAAGCTCCCAGTTCTTCTGATGATGGGCTCATTAAATAGTAAAAAAGAAAAAATGAGGTCCACTCATTCAATATATATTTAAGTGTTTACTAAGTGCAAATAGCTAACTTAGTAAGTCCCCTGAGACACTTGAAAGTGCCTAGAGTCCCAAAGACTCCATCTCAAGGTGCTTCCCTTGCAGGTGGCCTGCACACAACCTAGGAGGCAAGCAACAAGTTTCCTTCTGCGAAGTTCACTACAGCTCTTACTCAGGAACCCAGAGCGAGGCGGGTGCTGAGTCAGAAGTAGCTGTGTCTGTGGTGCCTTCCCCAACCACAGCCCTCACTTGGGGCTGGCCTGGGGGGGAGGTGACAAGTGTCTTTATTCACACCTTGCATGGTCTATAACCACACTTAAGAGTGTCCTTATAAAGTCTTTCTACCATTGACCCTGAAATTTTACAATAAACAATGTAAATTTTCCTGGAATTGGTGGACTACTTATAATCTAGATAGTTTCTAAGTGTCTAAAATGTCCATTTAAAATTATATGTCCTATCCAAGCACTACTGTCTCAATTCATGTTTTTTTCTTTTTTTCCTTTTCTTTGTAGAGCTAGGAACATGGCTGCTGACTAGTGGACAGTATTTGTAACGGCTGCCTGGTCTTTCTATCCAGAACTATAAATGATCCTCAGAGCGAGTAGAGTTTGAGAAAGCTCTGTATATTTAAGAGAGGTTGAGATTGCAATCCAGTTGAAAAGAGATCTTGAGGTACTTTTTTTCTAGTTATTTTTATATACTAAGCATACTGTTTGGTTTGGATTGTTTATATGTGGTGACTTGGCGGGCCAGGGAACTCAAGATCTCTTCCAAAGCCTGATCTTGAATCATCTAATATAGTGTCCCTACTTAGAGCGCTCCCTCCTCATTAAAAGCACCACTAAAAGTGCTGGGTTCCTGAGTAAGAAGCGGAGGCATCACCTTACCTTTCATAGCTTCATGTTCTTTACAGACAAGACGGGAGCAGATCTCGTTGTTGATGATGTACATCCGTCGTAAACTACCAGCACCGATGCATGATTAAGGAAGGAGAGAGAAGAAGCACTGAGGGGGAGAACTGGCTGAGGCCTGCAGTACCCTTTCAGCTCTTCTATTCCCCACTCTACCCTGTCTCCCCAGTCTGGGTTTTTCCTTGGGTATTTCACACTTAATTAACCACATCCCCCCATCCCTGAAGAGAGTAGGAGATAAAATGGTATTAGTGATAACTCTTAGAGACACTTCACACACTCCACCTAGAGTCAGGCTTAATACTTCTTCCCATTACTCTCTATCATCATTCAACATTCTAGTGTTTCCATCACGACTATGTCTCCAGTCCTCATCCTCATTTGCCTTCAAGTATCTAGACTTCCTAATCAGCCTGTTCTCCTCAATTTCATTCCTGGTTCTAACACTTTGAGGAATAGCTAGAAGAGGTATGCCCCAACTTCTCCACCAAAGACTGAAATTCCATAGTAGGTGCTCAATAAACAATTACTGATACAAAAACAACAGCACAGAATTTGGTCTGTGGGTATTCTGGGACCCCTTACCTGGTGAAACATAATTGATGATGAATGCATTGCTTAATTGGCCGATGCACAGAATAGAGTCTTGTGCAAGCAAATTTCTCATCTCGGCACTCTGAAGAAGCCCAATACAAAAAAAAAGAAGGAGAAACATAAAAGAAAGGCTGGAGGAGGGGAGAGAGTGGTGTAAAAAATGCAGTCTCTGCAGAGCATCATGGTAAACTGGGGCAGGTCCTTCCTGCTCACCAAAGCAGAGCAATAGGAAATTGGTAAGGAAGAAATGTAAGTACTGCTTTACCTGGAAACTCAGGGCTCTTCTAGGAAAAATTCCTTTTAGGGTTATCCAGGTGGCAATATTAAATATCAAATTGAAATCCTATTAATATTATTCTGACATGGGTCACCCTTTCTAGTTCAGTAGTTTTTAACCTTGGATGCACATCAGAATTGTTAGTATGCCAAGAAGACAGTTTTAGGCATTGATGGTAATTTTTTTTTTTTTTTTTTTTTTTAAGATTTACTTATGCATACAAGAGCTGGGGTACAGGCCAGAGATGCGGGGGGATGAGAGGATTCACCAGAGACAGCGGGGCAACAGAACAGGCAGACTGACTGAAACACACTGTTGAGGGGAGCAGCGGGCGAGTCAGGAGAGGAGAGGCCTGTCTCGCCACATGGGTTTCTCCCTGGCCGGCTGGGGATCGAACTTGTGCTGCAGAGGCTGAGGATTGCTTCATAACCCCTTGCGCCACCAGGGAGGCCCTGATGGTAATTCTGAATCAAATCCACTAAACAACAAAAGGGATGATAACAGGGCCATGTACCAAGGGTTCAACATTTTCCCTGACTTTTAGGAGAGGAATTCATAATGAGGGGGGGATTATAAATGGCATTAATAATATTATTTGAGAGAGAAAACTGAAAGATGTACCAAATACTCTCTAAGAACAGAGAAGTAAAGAATCTGCAGGAAGAAAATTCATGCAAGCGACGTCATACCTGCGGTGGTATTTCTGTCATTGGATGAAGCTGGAAAACAAATGTTTTATTCAATTATTACTAGTTCCAGAAATCATTACCTCTGTAACTGTCATGTTGCTCACACGGCACCCATAAATAAGAAACAGATGAGTTAACACCTTAGCAGCTTATAAAAGAAAACTCATAATGGGCTGGTTTGAAGCACACAGTTGGAGAGATTTAGAAGTTAGGATGGGAAATCTGATTTTGCCTTTCTTCTCTCTCTCCTGGAGAGTTGAGAAATCCTGTTTTGTGAGCATCTCTGTAGTGTGACAAACACATTTATTAGAGACACAAGGCAAAGAGTAATTCCTGAAAGAGTTTATCTTAGAGCTAAAGAGAGAAAAGGTTGTTATCTTGAAGAAGCGCTTTCTCATAAATTTCTTCTCTGTACATTATATACATTAACATGGGTTCTTTTATGTTGAATGAAGTTGTTGGATAAAGAATAGTGAAGGTCGTAGAGTCTTCACCAATGCTGACCTAGGGGTAAATTAAATACAGACTTAGTTTGATTCATGGAGAACATGTCAAAGGCTAATGAGTCTTGAAGGAATAGACTAACCATGGGTGTTATCTGGACATCAGAAGGAAGAGAGGTGCTAATAAAGTAGGTTATTATAAGTATGTTAGGTACTCATCTATGCCATGGTTTCAAATGTTTTTCCAATTGATTACTCTGATTAGAAATTTCCTTTGTATAAACTACTCATAATGGTTTTTATTTCAATCCTACACCTTTGACAATATTGTTTTCTTTATCTGGAAGCTCTTCCCTCTTCTATTCACTTGAGTCACTTTGACTTGTCTTCAGGAAGAAACATCGTCAGTGTGCCATCTTAACCCCCAACACCGAGTCCAGCCAAGGGCTATATTTGAGTCTTTTGTTTATGCTTATCCTGATTGTAGCATTTTGTGAAGCCACATAAAGTTATCCAATCATTTGTCAATCTTGTCTATTAGGCAAAGATTTTTAGGGAAAATGAGTTTTTACCTAGTAGCAAATTCTCAGTAACTCTTTTAAAAATAATCTGGTTTTTGTCTTACCACTTGTCTCTTCCAGTTTTTCCCCTAATCATTAAACATTAATCATTAAAAAAACTCGGTTTCTCCAATATTTCCAGCTCTGTTTTGTTTTACCTTTGAACATGCTTCTCCTCTGGCTGGAATGCCCAGATCTTGACTCCCTGGTTTGCTCCAGTTCTTCTTTTGAGAATCAGTTCAACCATTAAATCTTCTAGAAGGCTACTTTTATTTACCCAAACATCTCTTTTATAGATTTGTCCTGCCTTTTGCCCATTTTGGAAACTTTGAAAGAAAGATCAGGTTTTGGTATTTGGTATGGCAAACACCTAACACTATTCTTCCTTGTTAAGGAATCAAAAATGTTATTTAAATTGAAGTGTTGAAAGAATGTGCTACATAGACTTTCATTTTGGGATTCATCACCAGCTATACTGCCTTCCAGCATGGGCTCTGGGGAAAGCCCAGAATGGCCCTGGTCGCCCTGGGATCCCAGATCTGAACTCACCCAGGTCATCTTCGATATCAGCCAGAACTGAAAAGGCACAAAACAGCAGGTGTGAGGAGGGCTTAGAACTGGCAAGGGGAGAGGCAGAGTAGAAAAAAGAGAGTGGCGATATCAAGGCAGGGTAAGGTGTAGGCTGGGTTTGTGTATTATGTCCAGTGGAACAGCATTAACAGAAGTAATTGTGAATAATTTGGAGGAATATTTGGTCTATTGACATACTAATTTGGGGGATGTCTTTATTATCCATGCCTCATTTTACTTATGAATCCATTTTGTTCTCTCTTGTTAGAGGACAAGAAGGTGTCTCTATCCCAATGTCATTGAAAATTTACCCCCACAACCCCTCTATCCCTCTCCCAGAGATAAAATATATAGGATTAACTCAAGCTGAAATAAATATAATGAAAGTTAACAAAAATCATACCATTTTGAAAGAACTGCAGTAAAAATTTACCTGTTTCATCTGTAGCCGGATCATTCACCAGATCTGCAAAGATCCCCAAAATGGAATGAAAAATGTAGGCAGGAAAAGCAGCAAAAGGTAGCAGGAGAAACAGATGGGTTTTTTTTTTTTTTTGGTAGAATAACTGGGGTATAGGCCAGAAGTATGGGGCGGGGGGCAAGAAGGGGTGTTGAGGATTCACCAGAGACAGTGGGAAGCAGAACAGGAGTATCTACTGAAATACACCTCTGAGGGGGGCAGCGGGCAAGACAGGAGAGGTCTGCTGTGCCATATGTGGGTCAGCTCCATAGCTGGGGATCGAACTTAAGCCATAGAGGTGATAGCACTGACAGTTAACCCCTAAGCCACCAGGGAGGCCCGGAAAGGCATGGTTTAGTAGGAGGCAAGAAAGATGGACATGAAAGAATGTGGGTTCTTGGGCAATTATAGGGACCACCACAGAAGGACATGAAAAAGATAAAAAGATTGTGCCAGTTCACATCCTGGAAGATAGACAACAGACTCCTGCAGCCCCAGCACACCCACCAATCTCCTTTTTAAGTCTTCCTTTTTCTTTGCACAGACATCATCCTTAGTAATTCTTGCCCTAGATATGAAAGCAACACAGAAACAAAGAAAAGGTAGCTTACTAGGATCTTCTGTGAATGGCTCTGGAGTCACATCATCATCTGAAAGAAAAGTCAGAAAGCCTGTTCTGAGCACTCTGTCCACCTCCCTCCCTTGTACTCCCCATGAGTTGTCTGACTTGGTGCCCAGCACACAGTAGGTACTCCCACAATTATATTTTTCTTTGTTTTCTATGGCCTTTCCCCTATAATCCAAACAAATTTCCTACTTCATGAATATATTTATTCTTATTCAGCCCTAGTCTAGAATGTTTTTTTCTGTTGTCTTTTTTTTTTAAAAAAAGTATTTATGCATACAAGAATTGGGGTACAGGCCAGAGCTGTGGGGGGTGGTGGTGGTGAGAGGATTCACCAGAGACAGAGTGGGGAACAGAACAGGCAGACTGACTGAAATACACTGCTGAGGGGAGCAGCAGGTGAGACAGGAGAGGTCTGCTGTGCCATGTGGGTAGCTCCCTGGCTGGCCTGGGCATCAAACTCATGCTGTAAAGGCTGCAGACAGCTTCATAGGTTGCTTCTTAATCCCTTGGGCTACCAGGGAGGCCCTTTTTCTGTTGTCTTATCTAGAGGGATGAAATTCCATGTCCATCTGAAAATCCTCCATTGCAGCCCCTCTCTGGATTAGACTTTAGTTTTTATTGGACAGCAGAAATAATGTACGTTATTTCATTGTCTCAGTAGAGAATAATACAAAGAACGAATACTAGTATACTGTTCTAGGTTTTGTTTAAATCGCCGTTTTTACAATTGATAAAACTGAGCACCAGGAGAATAAGTAAATTGCCCAAGCTCACAAAGCTTGCTAATAATTACAATGGGTTGATGATCTCTTTGCAATGCTTACTACATTGTCTATACCAAAATAGAATGTTGATATTTATACTTTTGATGTAATTGAGTATCAGCTTGCTGATACATGGGCATTCTTACAGGGTGATGTGTATGGTTTTGTGATGCTCAGTGAGAAGTGAGGTGAAGAGAGGAGAGAGGAAAGCCAGTGTTAGTGAGGAGTGCCTTGCAATTGATCACTCGAAAGTAAAAGCGGGAGAAGAATTAAAAATGGTCCAGGTGTCAAGGTGGAAACTATTAAAATAAAGTAAGAAGACCGTCTATTTAAGTAACATCTCTTCCTCAAACAGGCTGTCTCAACTTTTAAAAAGCAAAACAACAAAGAAGTATTAACATTTAAATATTTAGCAAATATCAACAGTTCATCTGTAATCCCTCCTTGTAGATGGAGTGTCATGAGCTATTTTACCCACTAGGGGTCAGCAAATTTACACAGTTTTACTTTATAACTTCAGAGCCTAGATGCCAGCTAGGAAACTGGTGAGACTCGCACTGTATAAAGCCTGTCAGTTATTGATCACTGTAGTGGAGGCAAAACTCAAAACATTTTGTAGGAATTTCTCCTGCTTACTCTTTATGCCTTTTTAAAAATTCCAGATAAAGGTCATCAGAAACTGACGAGCCCCTTTATCCGTACCACTCAGTACGAGTTTTCTTCTTTCGGAACAAATTGTAATGAAAGGAATCCAAGACTAGTCCAATCCCAGTGGATATTTGAAAAAATCATGGACCAAAATCATTCCAGAGGCTGTACTGGGTGTAGCCCCATCCTGCCCTATTCCCCTTTTCCAGCCACATTCCAGTTCAGTCACTCATACAAAGTGAAGCCATGGTAGGGAATTGGGCTAAGAGTGTATCCAAATTGTCTCCTCAGGATTTTAGGACTAAATACCATTTTTCTGCACAGACCTTAGTTTAATCCACCTTTTCCTTGAGCTACCACTATACTAAATGCTTTATCTGAGATTCACAATGTTTCTCTGAAAAACTATTTTATGGAGACATTTTCATTATATCTGTTAGTATTACTGCTAGCAAAGCATCCCAATGTCATGAAACATGATGGGATCTTAACCAGCTCAGAGAAATGAATTCAGAATGTTTAGTAGTTTTTGTCAGTGCTGAAATGTGATGGAGTTTCTGAGGCAGGGTTCTGGCTTTTTTATCCTCAAGTGGGGCCATGGCAAGTATTTTAATCTTCTGTATCAGAATATGCAATAAGAAATTATTGTGCACCAGTATTCATATATACAACTCAAAGAATAACACTTTATTTGTGGAGTATATTTGCAATTCACACTGATATTTATTTTAGTCTATCCTAACTCATTAAAGAATAGCCAATTGTGACCCATAAATTGGATTTTATGCTCCATTAAAGGGTTGCATACTTAAGTGCTCTCAAGGGTTGGGAAAAGGAAGAGAGATATTGTTAATTATGTTGACTGCCTTGAGGCAGAGTAGAGTTGATCAGTTTCCTTCATCAAGATGAAGTAAGTACTCCTTGAAGGAGTCAAAATTTTATGATTCTGTTCAGGTGACACAATACCATTATAGAACAGAGATGTCTTCTTAGTTTGTCTTTGCATTTTAGTCCACTGTAACATTGATTAAAAAAATTTTTTTTGTTAAATATTTATTTATTTGTGCATGCAAGATCTGGGGTACAGGCCAGAGGTGTGAGAGGTGAGAGGATTCACCTGAGACAGTGTGGGGAGCAGAGCAGGCAGATTGACTTTAAATACACTGCTGAGGGGAGCAGCAGGCGAGCCAGGAGAGGTCTGCCACACCATGTGGGTAGCTCCCTGGCTGGGGATCGAACTTATGCTTCAGTGGCTGCACATAGCTTCATAGGTTGTGTCTTAAACCCTTGTGCCACCAGCGAGGCCCTGTAACATTGATTTTTAAAAATGCTTTCCATTAGCATTTTCTGAGTGAGAGAAGAGATATATAGAGGAGGTCTCAGGAAAGATATAATAAAAATGAAGACCAAGTTTTAGGAATGGGATGATCAGATTATGGAAACTGGTGAGATAGATCCTATTTCCCACACCTTGGCAACAACTCTCACCATTGTAGTCAAGTGTTTTTAACTCTGATCATTCATCTCTGTTAACCTGATGAGAATCCCAATAGCCTAGATCCCAGCATTCACCTACCTCCTCGTTGGCCATTGGCCCCTAGTGGTGTCCAGTCTGTACCAAAGGAAGGAGAAAAAAAAAAATATGAGTGACTCCAGCTGCATATCCCATAAGGCTTTAATGAAACCAAAACCAGATAAATGATAGCCAAATGGTTGTACTTTATCTTTCTGTCTTTTCTTTCTATTTAACACAATATGAATGGTCAGAGCTGCATACAAAGTTGCAGGAATAGAAACACTCAAGAAAGGCAATGGTCGACCACAAAATCCTACTTTGCTATGCTTGGACTCAGGATGCCTTCTTGACCTCACCCCCCAACCAGGAATGGGGTCTTGTTTCACAGAGTGGGTCGGGGGCCTTTGTACTGTGTCCTGACTTCTGTCCTCACAGCCCATTATTCACACTACTACACAAGTGATTTTTTTCATAGTCTGTATCTAGGAGAACAGGATTTCTTTAAAGCCCAAGTTTCCTTCTCTGTGGTCAGTCTTCTAATCAGATTCTGTGAAATCAGAGAAGATAATTTTTCTTTTGTATTTACATAGGGTATATGTTTTTCTGTATGTACATGAATATACTGGTGTCAGAACTGGTGCTAGTGTTTTGCAGGGCTTTTTTTTTAATATACTTCCTTCACTTTCTTATCTTTCAATATTTGAATTTGGTCCAGCTGTTTATTACACGGTCTTTCTAAGTTATTGTCTGCATTTGTGTCTCAGCTTCTTCTCCCTTTGCTATTTGTTGACTTACTCTTAGCTCCCTGAGTCTGAGATCATCTCCAATCATATCTCTGCGGTTTTTTCTTTACAACAACTCTTCTCTTTAATAACAGTTGAACTCAACACCAAACATCACTTCCTCCCATTCCCTTTAAGCTCCTTCCACCCTCAAATGCACATATAGCTCAGGAACTGGCAGGTTAATGGAAAAAGATCAAAGACAGGGACTCACCAGAGGGGATGATGAGAGCAGTGAGCAGCAGCAGCATCGCAGGTCCCGAGAGCAGCATGTCTGACAGGAGTTGGGAATAGACACGGTGGTGCTCAGGGGCGCCATCAGCAGATCAGTCCCAGGAAGGACATCTGTGGGACTTCCTGGTTCTACTCTGTGACTCCTTTTCATTTTTTAATTTTTTTTTTAAAGTAGGCCACTCAAGTAACTTCATCGCCCTTACTTACTTGGGGGCCTCGTTCTGATGTTACTTTATTTTTTGCATAGAAAAATGGGGATTAAGGGCCTCCCTCGTGTTGCAAGGGGTTAAGCACCGCACTATGAAGCAATCCACAGCCTCTGCAGCACGAGTTTGATCCCCGGCTGGCCAGGGCACAACCCACATGGCAAGGTAGACCTCTCCTGTCTCGCCCGCTGCCCACCTCAGCAGTGTATTTCAGTAGATCTGCCTGTTCTGTTCTCCACTCTGTCTCTGGTGAATCCTCTCACCCCCACCCCCTGCATCTCTGGCCTGCACCCCAGTTCCTGTATGTGCATAAATAAATAAATAAATAAAACTTTAAAAAAAAAACATGGGGATTTAGGCTAGAGGTCTGGGGAGCTGAGAGGATTCACCAGAGACAGAGTGGGGAACAGCACAGGCAGATTGACTGAAATACACTGCTGAGGGGAACAGTAGATGAGAGGTCTGCTTCACCAAATGTGGGTTAGCCCCATGGCCAGGGATCAAACTCAGTCAGTAGCAGTGATAGCGCTGAGACTTAACCCCTAGGCCACCAGGGAGGTCCCCTTTTATCTTTCACTCAACATTCATTTTTCCTTGAAACTCTTAGCATAACCATTTTTCTTCCTCTTTTTTTTTTTTTTTAAGATTTATTTATTTGTGCATACAAGAACTGGGGTGCAGATCAGAGGTGTGGGGGTGAGAGGATTCACCAGAGACAGAGTGGGGAGCAGAACAGGCGGAATGACTGGAACACACTGCTGAGGGGAGCAGTGGGGAGAGACAGGAGAGGTCTGCTGCACCATTTGGGCCAGCTCCCCTGCCGGGGATCGAACTCATGCTGCAATGGCTTTGGATAGCTTCATAGTGCTAAGACTTAACTCCTTGCGCCACCAGGAAGGCCCTTTCTTCCTCTTTTCTACCAAGTCAGAGGAAATTTTATATTCTAAATGGCCCTCATTTTGCCCTTCCCTGTGACCTTGTTCATTTACATTGTCTAATCTTCCTTTTCACTGGGATTTCTTTATATTATCTCCTCTTGGTGTCTCCTCTCATTTGAATTCCATGGATCATTGGGATGTCTGCTCAAGTCTAGGTCCAGTGACATTCCCCACTGTCCCCTTCTAACCCTTCAAGAAACACACACACACACATACACTCCCTCTGTCCATTTAGGATTTTATACAAGCAACTCACTGTCCAGGATCCTCTGCTCTTTCCACCAAGTCCTTTGGCTGCTGAGTGTGTCTCCTTCTCACGCTGTTTCTACTTTGGCTGGAGAGTAAGACGAACAGGCCACTCCCTGGAAAGGACTTCAAATTTGTCCTAATCTGAAACAATGAGATGAAGGAGAGCAAGACAGAATGTGTCTGTGTGTGTGTAGGGGGGGGGGTCGGGGGGGGGGAGAGAAAGAGAGAGAGAGAGAAGGAGCGTGCGTGAAAGAGAGGTCTGGGAGGAGTACAATGCAATGTTACACTGAAGCTGGAATGAGAATAGCAATGGGAATTTGTAGTCACTCACACCCTCATTCCAGAGGTTATGACCACATTGGTGAGAGACAGTGCTGTTCCCTGGAAAGGCTGGCCCAGGCCCATATGCCTTTTGTCCATGAGTCTATTTCTTCCCTTTTGCCATCTTGCTGAAGTCCCCTTTTCCTTGGGTTCCTTCTTATCTAAATAGTTCTATCTTGTCCTTGGAGAATTTTAATGCATATTGGCAGATCTGCTTCTATCTCTCTGGCCATCTTCCACAGTCAGATCATTCCTGCATCCTCTCCGCTTTTCATTTTTCTCTTTAGCGCCAATTAATTCCTTTGTATTCTCTCTCTCTCTCTCTCTCTCTCTCTCTCTCTGCCTTTCCCCCCACCCCCCATTCAAAGTATTTTACTCCCAGGAATTCTATTGATTTCCACATCCAAGCAAACACAGACACAAGACTTTGTGTAAGAAGAAGACTGCTTGTCTTTGGGTTAGGAAAAGTTGAGGAATACTGAACCTCTGGATCCTTCTGAAATGCAGAGGAGCTCTGTGAGAGGAGATGCCAGACATTTCTGTCTTTTGGCTTTGTTTAAGCTTCTGCTAAGAATCTTGGTTTCTGGATTCCTAAGGACAAAATGCCATCAGAAGTCCAAAGACAAGTGGAGCCAGGTTCATTCCAGTTGCCTCATTTTCCACCAGTTCTTTTCCTGGTATCTTGTAATATGTGGATAGTACTATCATTGATCCAGGAGTTTTAAAGACATTGTGCTCTTACTCATAGAAACTCCAGTGGGCAGCCCATTAAAATATCTTCACTTTGGAAGGAATCAACTTGAAGTGGAGAAACTCAAATCTGAGAACTGGTTGACTTTATGTGTGCTGAAAACATGAAAGTATAAAGTTATCTATTAGCTCCTTAAGTCTCCTTGTATCTCCCTACTTAGAGGCAGAAATAGCAGATAGAAGAAAGAAAAGAGTAAATGGCTGGAGGAAGGAGGGAAGGCAGGCAGGCAGAAGGAGGGAGGAAGGGAGAGAGATAGGCCACGAGGAATCCAGCTTGCTGTCTACTTGGGAAAAAGGGAAAGTGATGGTTAAAGTCTAACATAAACAATGGCACCTCTGCTTCCTCTGAGAGCGCCATAAGCACCTCACCTCTGAGATACATGGATTCTGGACTATCCCCACAACAAATCTGAGTCCAAGACCCAGATCTTCCTAATCTGCCTGCCCCAGAACTTACTCTTTTCCCATCTGTTCCACAGTGAAAGCACAGAGGCTGGAAAACAGATGTGAGTCTAGTCTAAGGGAGAGTCAGGGAAAGAAAAGGCCAGGAGGTGGGGGTTGGGGAGAAAGAAAAAAGCAGATGCTAAATGGAGCTAAGGCAAAACACAGAATAGAGAGGGGAGACCAGCAACCATGTTTTCTGTGAAGCTCAGACAGATGGAGACACTGAACTTAGGCCAATCATGACCTCAACCCTTGGAGTCTGCGGTGTGGAAATTCTCCCCTGGTGGTGGTGGTGGGGGCACTCTCTTGGGGTCGGAGAGGGAGCCTGAGGTTAGGGTAGTGAAATAAGAACAGAATGTTCTGGGGAAGGCAGGTGGGGATCAGGACTCAGAAGGAAAGGAGAGTAAGCAAGGCAGGACCTCGCGAAGAGCACAAAGCACCACGTACACATGTTGGGCTGAGGAGACCCTGAGGAATACAGTTTGGTGAATTTCTCATTCACAGGCTGTCCTGATGTCCCCTCTCTCCTGAGTTGTCTTTTTTTTTTTCTTTTTCCGGAGCTCAGGCATGGATCTTGGTTTTAGAGAGATCCAGATTTATTTTCATTAGGGTGATGTGGTCAGCCAGAACCATATCAGTTTATTTAATGACATCAGGTCAAAGTCAGCTCCAAAGGGAGAGAAGTGCAGCAAGCAGCTGCCATCCACTGATGTGAGGTTCTCACTGGCTGGGGTGAACGCCCAGAGCTCAGTCCACGTAGCCTGGCTCTCCCCGTGAGTCCCTGGGAAGCCCCCCTGCCTCGGAGAATTTGAACTGACTGACAGGTGCAGATGTGACTTCAACCCTCTGATGTTTAAGCTACCCAGGAAAATGTTCGTTTTCAAGAAATGTTTCAGCCACTGGAAGATGGGTACAGAGCAAAGAAAGAGAAGGAAGGCAGAGACTCAAGACACAGGCTGGCTTTATTCATCTGTTTATTGGCCTGTAAAGAATACGCCCATTAGCTGAAGGCCTCTGGGCAAATGTACAGAAACATTATTCTTACAGTCCAATCCAACTAAATTAAATCCAGGGCCTAAACACCAAAAAGATTTCCATAAAAGGAAGGAAGGGAAGGGAGGAGGGTTATATGAGGTGGGGAGAAAGGGAAAGGAGGGAATCTGGGGTGTGTGTGTGTGTGTGTGTGTGTGTGTGTGTGTGTGTGTAGGAATGAGGCAATAAATTAGTCACAGCCAAACTTAAAACATGGAATCAGCGCAGGACTTGGGAACCAGTGGACATACCTCCTCAGAAGACTCGGAGGAGGGGAAACAGCCTCCTCTTGAGCAGCCCACACCTGCTGGTGTTCCTGCCTCTATGCTTTGCCTCTTTTCTTCCTTTCCGAAATAGCTTCTTCCCAACTCCTATGTCCAGGATGCAAATGCTGCTGAGTACCTCAGACCTCAGCTTACATGCTTTCTCTTCCCAGAAACCTTTCCTAGTCCCTTCTGCTTCTGAAGAATTTATTGTTCCCTCCTCTGAGCTACTTCTTTTTTAATTTTTATTTATTTTATTTTAGTTTTTAAAAAAGATTTATTCATTTATACATACAATTACTGAGGCACAGGCCAGAGGCGTGGGGGGTGAGAGGATTCACCAGAGACAAAGCAGGGAACAGAACAGGCAGAGTGACTGAAACACACTGCTGAGGGGAGCAGCGGGGGAGACAGGAGAGGTCTGCTACATCATGTGGGTAGCTCCCTGGCCAGGGATCGAACTCGTGCTGTAGTGGCTGTGGATAGCTTCATAGGGCTGTATCTTAACCCCTTGCGCCACCAGGGAGGCCCAGATGGAGAATTCTTGACTGCAGAGACAATCTTGCTTTTTTCTGGCTGACATATTAATTAGTGCAAAACAATTCAGTGTGGTCAATTGAATGGAGTTGAGATGTGGACTCAAAACTGGACCTTCCCATTTATAGATATAAGCATTTTAGAAGTGAGTCAAAAGCAGGAAGATGAAGTTCTAGAAAAATAAACTTTTTGAGTGCATCAGTGGAGCACAGCAATGGAACAACCAATCAATGTATTCCTTGAAGTATGTGAAGGGAATAGGGCAAAAGGAAATAGGCAAGGAAATTCTAGAAGCAAAAGACTTAGCAGCAAGGCTGTCAACTGAGTACATGTAACATGTGGAACTTACATCCCCAACAATGGGTCCTCCATCTTATCACTGCTTTTGGGCAAAGGTCCCGATGGCACTAGTGGTCTTGCACAGCTCTCTCTGCCATGCAAAGGCCCAGAGCTTGGTCTCATTTCAGGATTCTTTTAAGGATTTTGAAATTAAACCCACCACAAAAGCCTTTTAAATAAAACTGACTACAGACAAAACAAAACAAGACAAACACTAGAAATTCATTTATAGATAGGAAGTCTCCATCTCCCCATTCTACCCATCAGAAAACCAAGCTTAGAATTTGCAAGTATGGAACAACCCAGGAAATTTCAATGCATATATCTTTATGAATATGCAGTGATAGCTAATGTAATTATTGAATTTTGTACATTTATATCATATATGTTCATGTTTAGGTTTTTCTAGGTTATATGTGCCAGGCAGTGTGCAAAATTGTCCCCCATGAAAGCAGCAGTGAGCTATCCTATAGCTCACCCCCTGTACCCTACACTCCCACCTATACCCTGTAGCTCATATGGCAACAACAGATATTTATAGCCAACTGGCAGCAGCCCAGGGCCTGCCCAAAGCAATGTGAATGAACTTAGAATTGGCTTGTCCCTCAGTTGGGCCTTAAGAAGACTGTGCCCCTAAGCTGTGAGCATATTCCCAACAAACAGCAACCCTGGGAAAATAAATGTTTTAAGCTGCTAAATAGATAACTGTAGCTATATTACATCATATATAATTATTTTGTCTTATATAAATACGGCATTTTCTTATAACATTATGTGACGATGTAATTAATATTGGCACGTCTATTAGTATGAAAGACAGCTATATGTGTTCGCTATAAATACACACTAGTTAATAAAATAGCTAATGTGTGTGGAGGGTTTGTCATATACTAGGCACTGCTAAAAGCTAAGTGTGTGGAAGAGAGAAAAGAACGGGGTGGGGGGGTGTGTGAGAGAAAACGTGAAAACCACAAAATTACTCTTTAATATACATTATACATCAAACCACTATAATTTTGTACAACCACTTACTTGAAAAGTAGAATAGCAAATGAGGGAACACAGAAGAGAATTTTGTCAGACAGAAAAAGGGAACTTAAGTTATTTTGCCTGGACAAGAAAACCTAAAGGAGGAATCCAATAATCATTGATGTTATACTATCTTAAAGATTTTGGCAAGTTTATTCTCACCACCTTTTCCCCTGAAATCCAGTATCTTTCTTTTTTTTTTTTTTAAGATTTATTTTTATTTATTTATTTATTTACTTACTTATTTATTTATACAAGCACTGGGTACAGTCAGAAGTGCGGGAGGGTGAGAGAATTCACCAGAGCCAGAGCGGGGAGCAGAGCAGTATCTTTCTTAACAATTTTAAGAGAAGCTGTCACAAAGGACTTCATTGATGCTCAACACTAGATAAATTTCAGTCTCATTTTCTTGTTTTTCCGCAGCATTAAACATGGTTAACCAGTCCCTCCTGTTTTGAAACA